CGTTTTTATAATGAATAACTTAAAGTAGGAAAAAGACTATTGTTACTTAATCGGTAAAGGAAAGGTAAAATTATTAAAGATAATAATATTGTATTAAATTTTATCTAAAATTCTACTTTTATTGGTAATTAAAAAAGTGATAATATCGAATAATAATAATAAAAAATGAATTGTTTTTTTTTTTCATCGTTCTTTTGCGACAATATTTTCATTTCAATTTTTGCTATCGAAAATTTTATTTTATTATATTCCTTATGATATTTTTTATATTGTTTTTTTAGTTTTGTGTTAATTTTGTCGATTTTTTTTAAGGTCATGATGACTAATTTTTTTTTTATGATGCTTACATGTTAATTTCATCACTAAACAAAACTAAATTTTTTTTTTTTTTTTTTTATTGAAAACGAATCAAACGGAAAATAATAAAATAAATTTATATTTTTTCCTTTGCAATTTTCATATTATTAATAATTAATTAATAATTAATAATAATAATATATATATGTATGTTTAGTAAATTTAATTTAAATATTGATTTTATTTGTGATAACACCTACAAAGGCTTATGTTGATAATAATAAGTTATATTTACCTGTTGATAAGATAATTTTTATTTTTTTCTTTCTCAACTTTGGTGATTTAATTTTATTTTTACTCGGCTTATGTAATTATTTAAAAAAAAAAAAAAAACAACTTATAATCATGGGAGAGAGGGGAGGGGGGAGGGGAAGGGGAAAATTATTTATTTTTTAATATGTAAAACATGTGTGTGTGTGTGTGTGTGTGTGTGTCTTCTAAATGAATTTTCCTTTTGTAAACGTTTATTAATTTTAATTAAACAGGTGCATGGAAATACCACACCCATGTATATATATATGTGAATGTATAAAATGGGATTTTTAATAGTTTTCCTTTTGCTGTAGGTCCCCCTCCGGCAGGATTTCAAATACCTGGTGGTGGCGGCGGCGGCGGCGGTTTTCCTCAACAGGGATTCGCTCAACCAGGTTACCCTCAACCGGGATATCCTAAATCAGATTATCAACAACCAGGTTACGGAGGTTTGCAACCTGGTGCTCCACCAGCATACGATTCTGTTTATGGCGGTCAACCTCCTCCGCAAGCACCAAATATGTACGGTACAAATTATGGTGGGGAAGCGGGTGACGTTTCCGGATTTGAATTTTCCGAAAAGTCCGTTCGACATGCATTTATTAGGTAAATTTTTAGGTTTTTTTTTTTTTTTTTTTTTCGAATTTATTTTATTTTAAAATTATTTACCACGAGACTTAGATAGATTTTTATTTTATATTATAGAAAAGTCTATGGAATATTAATGTGTCAGCTCGTAGTTTCTTTGGGTTTCATCGCATTATTTCTATTTCACAATGATACGAGAGTGTAT